AGTCTCCTTTCGTTGTATAGAGGTTGTTTGACCTTGTTTTCGCAACTCGGTCATGTTGGTAGGAAGACTTGTCTCTCTGACGAGTTGTAATATGGTGCTACGAATGGCAAGACTCACTGACGATGCCGACTATGATGCCGGCGAAACGTCTGGGAATGTACCACATCCACGGTCCTACTCTGGAAATGATGATGCATAAAATGGACTCCGGACAAGGTGCGTTCCTCTAATTCTTCCTACCAACATGATCTAGTTGGGAAAACAAGGTCAAACAATTTGATGTCTGCCAAGTAAAATTGCACAATATTGCATATTGGTCTAAAATTCTCTCTATACGTGGATCATGCGGTTTTCACATTTCCCGAAAGCGGCTATGTAAAATTAGATAGAACCGAACAGAGGAAACTTAATAAACCCTATCCTTAACGAAACACTCTCAAAGGAGACTGAGACTCTGTCTTTTCGCAGTTACATTCATCTCATAGACTTGATTCCCTCAACTTGTGCCGAGATGTCTACTTCTGGTGAAAAGCCGATTGACAAAGACAACGTCTCGGTGCTTCTTTCATATCGAACGAAACGGGACCCTTAACAACGAAGTATGAATGAATGATCACGTTTCTATCTCTATCCTCTTGTTGTTCGTGGCCACACCATCTTGGCCTTCATATTTCGAGGTCTTTTTCTTGTCGGTTTCGCCTGCAATGATGGCTCGCGTCAGCCGGAAAGTAATGGAGGCGGAACAAAGCGAATCAGCAGTCGTCTTGCGGTGAATCGCTCAAGCCTGCAACAATGACTCAACATCCATCCACGAAACTCAACATAAAAGCAGATCTTCCCAACGGTTGTCGACTGATAGTCTGCAGGTCCGAGTCCCGTTCTCTGCGATTGCGCCTGAACTGGGCGAACGTCCCGGCCGATGAAGCCGAAATGGTAGTCTGGCCGGTTACGACAGCAACCGGCCTGCGGGCATCTCCTGTCCCACTGACGGCTACTCTGCCACCGGCCTTGGCGACGGAAACTGCGGAGTGGAGGGCGACGCGAAAAGGGAGAGTAGACGCGAAAAGATGACGGCGATTCGAAGTTGAGCATTATGTTACAAGTGGCGGACTGTGCCGATTGATGTTGCGATTATGCAATGTCTCGTTGCCAAAAGACGGACACATGCAGGCGGTGGGAGAAAGAGAAGCCTTGTTGGTGGGAACAACTATTTTCCCTTTCGCTATCGGCGAACCGGTCGCTTTTCAGCGAGAGGCAGCGATGCGAAGTCTGGCGGATGGGAGAGCTCCTCCGCTCCTCCTTCTCCTCCTCCTCCTCCTCCTCTTTCACCCTCTTCCCACCCCGAGGAAGCCGGACAAGTTTGACCTTTGCAAACCCACCCGATGGTGTCGTGTGGGCCAACTTCGCCGAGAGGGGTACTAATCAAATTCCGCTTCATCACCTCGTGGGGGCAGCCTCGAGCCCTCGGGCCAGAGCTGGCGGCTGTCCAATTGGCGAAAACACACTCTGGCCCTCGGAGCGCGGCGTGTGAAAGGGTGTGGACATGGTGTGAATCTGGCCCAGAACACGGGCCGACGAGAGCCAAACTCTGGCCAGGTTTGCGTGGAGTTGGCCGAATAGAATGCGGTTTTTACACACCGAGTTCTGCTGTTAACCCCAAATTGTGTGGACGTGTCGATGGGTGTAAAGTCGACCGCGTTCTGACACGTGGGCGATAGTTTTAGGGCGGACTGCCGACGTTCGACTGGTTACCGAGCCGACATGAAAGAGGCAGGCTGGCCCTCACCCACTTTGTAGGACAATGTTGAAACATGATAACTCTATTTATGTCTATCAACTGACCAAGAGACGCCTTATTTCGATAAGCGCACGACTGACATCAACTTCCTGGTCATGTCCAGGTTGGAGAGCAAAATATCCTACTTGCTTGTGTTGCTTGCTATGCTACTTGCTTTGCTGGCCGGCATCTTCGGCGCGCCGATCTACAGCTCGTCAAAAGAGACAAGTGAAATGCATGCATTAACTTAATTTGACGGAACGGTTGTGGTGTCTCTTCTCCTTCTGTTCTGATGAATTCGCCTATTTCACCTCCCTGAATCGCAAACTCTTTCACAATTGCACATTCTAACATAAACTAAGAAATTGGGCTGACCTCGTTGTCGCAACTTGGTATTGTTGTCAAGGTGACTATGCGGAACGCACCTAGTCCGAAGTCGTCTGCCATAGTAGTTGTCATGATTCCCACCATCTGACAGTGGACATGATACATGCTTAAACGTTTCGCCGGCATCATAGTCGACCCACTTCTATAAATCGAAAGCAGACTGCGACCATAACAGAGGCCACAACATCTTGGTCTTCATATATAAAATAAGCAAGTTAAGAGTTGTGTGTGTGTCTGTGTGTGGAAGAGAATATTAAATAGGTGCTTGCCTCAGAAAAGAAGGTGAAGGAGTACCAGAACCAATCGACGGATAAGTTTCTCTCGGCTCTTTGATGAGTTTTGACTCTATGCTAAAACTGGCTATGATGCCAGCGAAACGTTTGGAAATGAGTTAAACGTGACTTTTGCGGATGGCAATAAATAAAGTATCTTCTTCAGAGTTGCCCTTGCAACACTAGGAAAATGTGAAAATAAGGTTCGACTCTTTCTTCTCAACCAAAGTAGACCACAGCCAAAATGAAGCCCATGCAGTCTTTGTCCTTATTCTGACTTAGTAACTGCCAAAAATAGTTGGGTTTTTGGGACTCACATGTTGCATTTATGTTGAGCTTACTTCCATTTTGAGTGATCGCATCAGAAGACGATGCTGGATTCCTCTTGACCAACTGTCGATTGGTTTTACTGGAACATTCTTTTTGATGTTGTTTCAGAGGCAATTGCTTTCGATTTCGGTGAAAACGCACTAAACTTTCATCTGTCGCATAACGGACATCATCAGATCATCCCTAAATGTTGTTTGATGAGGTTAATATAATTCATCTATGTGGATGTGTGCTTGCATGTGCTCGTATATGCACAAAAGCAGCAATGATGGTCTAAAGTAATTAGAAGATAAAAAGTGACGTCTGTTCTTGGCCACCAAAATTGTATGACCACAGCCACTCAACCCCCCTAAATATATGCTTATTTTAACCATCATTACGATTGCGCAAAGTCAGAAACATGTCTGGTTCTTTTGAGGAACTTTTTGTATTCATATGAAAGGAAAAGAGTGGACTAAAAAGTACAGTATATTACATGCACACGCACAGACAAACATGTACACTTACATGCTTTGAGGATGTTTATGTACATCATTTAGGGCTGAGCTGGTGAGTTTCTTGACTCGTCAGCTTGACGGTGTTTATAAGCAGAGTTTCGAGACTATCCATTAGTCGGTCATATGAGATGTATTCTCCCCAATTCGTTTAAGGTGATGAAGGACTATGCGAAGTTCCATAGAAAAGTCAGCTCTACTCATCAGATTGTAGGAAAATTCAACTACCAGTCCTTTATCACCTCAAACCGAATAGGGTGATTGCATCACATATAGCTTGAATGTGGTTGTTAAGATGATACCGGCATACGACGATGAACGCTTGGCACTTTTTCTCTTGAATCGAATAAGATTGCCGTGGAAACAACTTAAAGAGGATTTTTCCAGTTAGGCCAATCGACAGCTGGTCAAGAAGAATCCGCCATCGCCTTCTGGTGGGATCGACGTTCGAATCTCTTCATCAAACACTTTCACTCGAAATCACGAAAACAATACTTAATTAGAAAAATATTACATACTATACAATGTGAATATTGGCGTTGCCCCCAACATACTCTTCAGAACGTGTGCCTGCTTCCGGTTGCCCGACTAATCGACGACTGGTGAGGATGGCCAACGTAGAGATTGGCCTTCGCCTCAACAGCACAATTTATATGCTTGGCGATAAGTCACTTAATATGAGATGTATTCACACTATTTCATTTAAGGTGATGAAGGTCTGGTAGAATAATTTACCCACAATGATATGAGTTGTGCTGACTTTTCCATTGCATTTCACATAGCCTTGATTTCCCAAAAGTTGTTCTCATCCACGCTAAAGTGGACTGCAGTTTAGACCTCGCCTCGGCCTTATCAACACCCTCAGCGGGAGTCGAACCGCGACAGTGCAGGATGGCAGATTGATACCACAACCACTTGGCTACAGTGCCACGAGCGCCTTTTGGGTGACAGGGCAAATGTGAAATTTCAAGGAAGGCCAGGCCTTTTTGCCATATCATATTCTTTGGTGGGATTGTGGATGAAGCAATGTATATCTGCTATAACAATCGACTACTATACTTTATTTTTA